CGACAAAGTTGAGCAGGTAGTACCTGAATTAGATCTTTCCCAGAGGGTCCATCTTCCCTAGTATAGGGGGCTAAATAATTACAAATACTATTGTGGGGGGTTCATTAATATAGTTATATAGTTTAATGGGCCCCAAAAGCCTACTCTCAGTACTAAGGCCCCTATATTATGGTACCCTTATAGATCCTTATGGTACCCCTTTAAAGGAACCCCTTTCAAGGAACCCTATTCCAATCATTAAGGCCCCTTTATTACCACCGTCGAACCGGAGGTTGCTAAGGGTTGACCTTAACCTACCCAAGCCTGCCGCTTTGTAGACTCTTATTATTTGTCCTCATGCCAAGTTTTTAGGGTGCCTACTACAAAGAAAGTAGGTGCTGGTAGGTTCAGGTTAGGGTTGCGTAGTCTTCCTACTTGCGGAAGCTGTTGGTTGCCAGCTTCAAAATTGCCGAGTCGGATCTGGGGGTTGTAGAAATCAGCATGTGGCTGTTTTCAGGCTCCTTGAAACCTCTAAAATTTACGGTTCGAGAATTTAGCATTTCACGTTTTTCAAAAAGATGGCAACCCTACACACCCTGCACGTTTTGGAACTACCTGTAACGTCCCTGAAAGAAGGGAGGATAAAAACACCTGACATCAATGTCAGCCCCTGGGATCCGAAAGATCCTGGGTATTCCGCAGGTTTACAGCTCGCAGGGTTGCTGCCCAAGGCTGAAAGATCTTTTGAAACTTTTGTTTGCCCAAGAACTCCATAGTGTCGCTTCCTAGGATGCCCAGTAACCCAGTAACCTGGGAATAAAGAGGGCTCCCTTGTTGGTATTGGGTAACTTAATAAGGAACCTAAGACTACAAAAAGGGAATAAGGGTACTACTGGGCATCCTAGCTTCAAGAATCCCTTACTCCCCCAATATGCCACAGAACTAAAGGCTAAACTTTCCGATTCCTACTAAACTATAAGAGCCCAAAAAGTTTAAAGGTTGGGTATTGGGGAACTAAGCCTACAAGCGGATGCAGGAGGGGAGCCCCAGGAGAGTCGAAGGAAGCAGCTGCCATCTCAAGCAACATTGCCGCTGGTTTGGTACAGCTGAAGCCTGCATCTTCCCTCAACCCTAACCCCCAAACCTTATGTACATAATATATAAATACAAACTCATGTGTATATATATATATACACATATATATCTATATATATATATATATATATATATATATATATGTAGGGCGCGCTTGTAAACATATATATATATATATGAACAATCCTTAAATCCTGAACTCTGCTTAGTTCCACCTTGCTGACTGACCCGGCTTGAAGGGCTTTCTAGGCACCTGGCTGGAAAAACAGGACTTAGTCGAAGATGATAGGAGTACCTTAATTCATTAGGGCCACAAGAAACTCTAACCACTGTCACATTAGTTCATAACCCTCGTGTCTAAGCCCCTACAAGCCTGTAACGACCCGATAAGAAAGCAACACTAGTTGCAGAGTCCATGATCCTTTGAATGCCAAGGAACACGAGCCCCGAGATGGCGAGGGATACTAAACAGGAGCCACCAGAGTAGAGGTGAGCCCAGAAAGGCCCCACCAAGCTCGCATGACCTCCCGAAAGGATCATCCCAAAGGGTCCTATGTACTGTTATGGGGGATACTTCCCTAAGCCATAATAGTAATTCCGAATATGGAAACCCTACATTCTACTATATCGGTACATAGGACCCTTTGGGCATGGAGCGTATGGCACCATAAAGGGCTGCTTCAAAGATAGTGCAGAGGATGATTTAGTGCTTGGGATTCTAGCTTTTTTTTCTTCAGGGTTCATGGTATTTGTAGGGTTACAAGTGAGGCAGCTTATATAGTTAGAATCTAGAAACCCTGCCGAGACACATATCACCTTCTTCACTCTAAGTCGCCAGCTTCGTTCCAGAAAACCGGCTAACCGAAACCTACAAGAACCTCCTTCTCGCGGTCAACACCGCCGCTTCTTCATGTCCCAAACCATTACATGGGGGTTGCCGGATCCACGGATGGCTTTAGTTGCAGGGGTTGAAGGTGTTGCAACCAATCTTCGTGCTGAGGGTCGGGGTCTAACCAGGTGAAATGCAACGGTGCTGTCGTTGTGGGTGCGATTGAAGTGACGTTGTTAGTTTAGTGATGCAAGAATTGTGGTGCTTGCCGTAGTGGCTGTACGGTAGAAATATGCACACTTGTTGCACCACCGTGACATCCAAGTCCACATCGAATCAAACACTTCCATCCCGCATAACCATGACTCAAAGACCAAAACCTATATAACCCTAAATCCTACATGATATACCTTGAACAAGAAACTACGAATGCTGAAGCCACAGTCACTAAACACCCAAGCCGATGTACCCGAATCCGAAACGCTCTCAGACCTGGTTCCAGCAACACCTAGAGGCCGCGTGCGCCGTGCGCGTGCGCGTTGCGCAGTCTTCCCTACACCATAGATCCGGAAAGCCCCAAGGCCTCCAAACCCCGTAAATCTTACACCCTGCAAGGCCTAAATGATTAACTTGTTGGGATTTGCTAGGTGCTGGCTTTCGGCAATCTGTTATTGGCCCCGACTAGATGACTCATATCGAACAGGATCGGGAACCTACTGAGTCTAGGCGAGGAGTCGTATGGCCTTCGTTGTGAGCAAGGATGGCGTCCAGGAATCCTGCATGCTGGGGGCCAGCAACTCATCGCAGCAATCCTTTCCCCTGCCCCGCCGCCTTGAAACAACAAACAGCAAAACTCGAAAAGTGTTTTCAGTAGTATGATGGTTTGTTCTCTGCTGTCTTTTTCCGAGAACCTTGCTCTTGCTCGTGCTCGCGCTCTTGCTCCCGCTCTTTCTTTTGCTCCTGCTCCGGCTGCGTCTCTTGCTCCTGCTCCTGCTCTTGCCCCTGCTACTGGCACCTGAGCACCCTAATCCAACTTTGTTCTTCAAAAGGCGGGTATGATTTCGGGGGGGGTGTTAACGAAAGTGCTTTCATGACTAGGAGGTCTAATAAAGGGGAAGGGATTGACAAGCTCAATCCAGCTTCGGGGTCTATTATATTGCGATTTCATAAGGGGGCATAGTCGGATGTTGTGATCACTTATTCGGGCCGGTAGTACCTGAACCTGCGAGACTTTGGGTATTGGATTGGAAAGACAACGTAAGCACGGAACATACTGGATCTAGCACAGAAAGGCAGTGGCGATATGGTCTGAAGCCCTCTGGGAAAATTCTGATTGGAATAATTACTCAGCAACCTTCATAGCCGTAGCGCAGTAGCTGGCTGGCAGCTGGACCTTCAGTGGTGCTTGTGTTTGGCTGGCTAGCCTTTCGATGACAGGATTCCAAAAAGAATAAGCAGGTCAGCAAAGCAAGGAACTACGATCGAGGGTCCTGGTAAAAAAAAGTTGCTCTTCCCATGTTACACCCTATTTCGACAGGTGGACAGGTGCCACGATTCTCCAACACAAAAGCATCTCGCAATACGGTCTTTGGGCCATATGTTTATTTAGACAAAGATGTCGTACAGAGAGGCCCGCATTTCCTGAAACACAAACCCCCCCGCAGGCTTGAAAGCCCTATGTCCAAAGCCCAAAAGAAAACGAGGTCCCTGGCTTGCTCCGATGTTTACTTTAGGGAGTTTAGGGTTTCTGATCCTATTCGGTCTGGGGAATATATGGCCCTGGATTCCGCCTTCCTTTTCTTTCACCCTTCAGCCCCATATCCAATCATGTAAATCCCGAGCCCTTCAATTTTAGCAGCTTCTGACCCTTTTGCTGTCAGGGTTTAGGGTCTAGGGTTTAGGATAGGCGAATCTAAAGCAGTAGGTTTTTGGATCCTCAGGATTTTCATTTAAAGAGCTGTTGGGTTCAGGGCTTGGGAGCTTGGGGCCTATGGGGGGCTATTTGGGGAGGTATGGCAAAACCACGGGTCCTGGAAAGCAGGGTGCCACGCCAATCGCCACGGCAAGCAAAGGACGCCACTTTATGCCCGTAGAGGAATAGAGCTCCTTCACATGTTTCGGACAGCTTGGGGAGCGATGGGGTTAAGATCTTGAATATTGAGCTCTTGGGATTAGATTGGTTTTTCGGAGTCGTGTGTTCGTTCATAGGGTTGAGGTCGGGTTTTGGATTTCGGGTTCAAGCCTCTTGCGGATGGCAAGGCGACGACTGTCACAGCTATGCGGCATTCGGATCATAGCTAGCTCTGGCTGGCCTGGCCTGGCTCCAGTCTTGCAGATTTTGGTCCGTCACACGTCCAGCAACGTCGTCCGGGATTCGCGAAGAACTATTTACGCAAGCAGGCGAGCATTCAAGCTCTCCAGCTTGTCCAAGAGCTGCCCGTAGGCACAAATTTATGTCCGCCAAAACGAAAGCCCTTCACGCCCCTCTGAGCAGGGCTTGTTCGAAGCTATTAAAAAAGTGATGCATGTCCCTAAGGCTCCATGTGCCCATATAGTACATACTTAGGCCTTAGAGTACCTATATAGGGACCCCTTTAAGGCTTAAGTATCTACTATATAATAGTACATGGAGCCTTTGGGTGTATGGTCTGTATGGTGTGTGCGAAGTTGGAACTACAAGCTTCTCTTGGAAGTGTCCAAAGCCTTCGGCTGCAGAACAACTCAGCTTCACAGCATGAGCTGGTGCACCCATCGTAGGCTAGGCTTTGAAGTTTTGGTTTAGGGTCTACTTGAAGGTTCAGCGGCTCGCGGATTTTGGGTTTAAGCCGGTTCCAGTAAGTAGGGCGTACGGCTACTACTACAGTGATGGATGCCCTCCAGCTTAATCCGTCAGCACATCAGCTATGCAAACTAATTTGCTACGAACGGCTGACACACCTGCTTCCCGCTTCTGACTCTCGCTGCGCGACTATGAGAAATTAAAGTCTGAACAACTCCCCAAAGGGGCGTTCTAGCAGCAGTGAGTCTGCAGCAGCTTAAAACCCTGTACAAATCCTTGGGCCCTACATGGACTCCCAGAGAATGGCGCGGCCCTCGGCTAGCTCAGCTTCTGGACTAGGGACCTCCGGTGGCAAAAGCCTGCCATGCAGAGCATCGCTCCGCAGTAGATCCCGCAGGCCCAGAGGCCTTAGTTGCTGGGTTCATAAGCCACGGAAGGTGTAAACTTCCAGTTCTACAAGTTCTACAGGGGGTAGAATTATCCCAAACATGTAAAGTGTGCCCTTTTCTGCTTCTAAGAGGCTATGTTGAAGAGCTCGATTGCTGAGTGTGTAGCTGGCGAGGTCGCAAATCATGTATGCCATGAAGATCAGAACCGTCTGAACATAGTCGCACGCGCACGAACCCATTCTGGGAGATGCAAAGCGATCGCAAAGGTAGAAAAGCAGCTTGAGAGACAGAAGCTGCGAGCCCACGCCGAAGCCGATCAACCAAGCCATGATTCGAGCCCAAATGAAATCATGCGGAAGGCCGTCTAGCCACATTCCCACAGTGATCTCTAAGCCGGGCAGCATGGGGATGGTGCTGAACAGCAGGAAGTAGGCAACGGGCACATGAGTGGCCTGCGCCACTAACTCCATCCGCAAGGCTCCCCGGACGTACTGGTTAAAAACATCCCTGCTACCGTACCATGCCTCAATCGCTGTGTTGACGAATTGGCTGTCGAAGTCCAGCCGACATTCGGATTTGTCCACATCGAAGTTTGCAAGCCCTTCCACCAAAGTCTGCTTCTCTGCTATGAACCGGCGTAGGGTATGAGCAGCTACAAGCATCGGCAGCAGCGCAATGGGTGCGATCGGAAACGGAAATGTGGCATTTAGAGGAGACTGGACCGCTGCAGCCACGTACATCAGCCAGGTGGTGAAGTAGACGCTCGTCCAAAGTGCAAGGATTGCCACCTCCAGGAAGAGCGGCACCAGTCGGATTCGCCCAGTCGGGTTGGCTGCCCTGTAAGCTGCCATCTCGAAGACACACCATTTCCTCAGGGCACCAAAAACGCACATAGGCACAACTCAGGATTGGGATATCCGATATAAACCCCTAACAGTGACTCCAATAAGGTATGCCCTGCCACGTGCTTATTCTCATGTTTTTTTGGGGTCCGCGAAACCTGGAGAAGTAAGGTGGTGACCACAAAACTCGCAGCTCCTTTGAGCGGGCAAGGAAGCCTCCCAAACTGTAGATTCCTCGCAGCATGAGCTTTTGGTCCACCTGGTGGATGCAGACTACGTCCAAAAAGCACTGAGTGCTGCAACCTTGCGGTGAGTAGGCGGCGCAGAGGGCCCCGACGAACATGGCTGGGAGGTAGGCCGCCAGAAGGAAAGGGCCAACATGACAAGTGACTTGGACACCCAGAACAGTGACGTTGGACGCCGATGTAAATGGGCGCGGCAACACCTCTGCCTTGTACAAAGCAACAATGATGACGAGAAAACCCATCCAGGACAGCAGCAAAAAAGTCCAGCAGGACTGCAACAAGAGACCAAAAACCTTCCACCGACCTGACGTCCTCCAAGTGTGCGACAGGAACACATCGAGCAAGGCTGCAGGACGGGATTGCTCCCACAAGGCTTTGCGAGCTTCCTCGGGAAGGTCTAAGGGGGATTTTCGCCAAAGACGGCCCCCTCCCCGCAGGGTTTGCCTCATTGGAATGCTCCGGAAAATGTCCTGGTCAACCTCCAGCTGAGACAAAGATTTCATCCTGATCCATCCCACGTGGTCCTCGACTGGCTCCGAGCTCTCTGTATGAACTGCTTGAAGCCCTGATGGTCCATCGTTACAATCATCGGATTTATCGCTCCTCGCCAACTGCTCTGTCGCAGATTCGCGAATATCTGACGGATTCTCTCGATTTCCAGTGAGAGTGGTCTGTGTCGGAACTCCCATCTTGGTGCTCTGTGCACATATCATCTCTCCAGGAAGTCTCTGCTCATCATGGCAGCAGCTGCTGTTACCTCCCATGGCTGAAGCGATCGCAAGCGGAGCTCCCCACGAACCGTGGCCTCGCTTCTGTGCCTGAGCTTCCCAGACGTGATCCTCAAAAGCAGTGGCGGCATGCCTGCTTGCATGGATGCGTGTATGTATGCACGCATGAGCGCGCATGTCTGTCTCTGTCTGCCTGCCTGCCTCCCTGGCTGACAGGCTGGCAGGCTGGCTGGTTGGCTGGCTGGCCGTCCGTATGTATGTATGTATGTATGCGTATGTAATGTACATGCATCTGCACGTGTATATGTATCTCTCTATATGTCTATGTAGATGTATATATGTATATGATAGGTATGGCTGTACGTAAAGGTATAAGTAGATGGAATTGAATGTGTAAATGTGTTTTATGTATGTGTACAAGCATACAGGTACATGTGTATGTATACTTTGTGTATTGCGTATACTGTGTATGTTCTGTAAACTGTGTAGAATATATGTTAAGTATATGTAAAAATGTATGTATGCAGGTATGTGACATATGTGTACGGTGTACATGCATGTGTGAGTGCAGGCAGACTGTATGCATGTGGGCATGAAGATACGTATGCACGGTGAACCATGCGTGTGTTGCGCAACAACGCCGACGGTCGACCAAGACACAAGCAGCTTTGTTGCTATCGGGTTGCGAACTACAGATTCTGCTCGATCAAAGGGATACGCGAATGATAGCTTTTCGGCAAATGCCTTGCCCGCTGCAAGAACCGCCAATTTCATGAATACCCCTGTACGACCCTTCCGCAACTGAGGAGTTGCATCTTTGTCGGTACAATCCTTTCTGCACCGACTCAGGGCTTGGCTCCGCGGCTCGGATGCGAAAAGTTAAGCATAGACTGTGACATAATTACCTGATTGAGGAATAGGGTATTCCCCGAAATCACGGCGGCAACCCTTGATACAGTGGAACCTCAATTACGGTAGGTGTGTCGTCTCAGAGGAGTGCTGGGCTCGTTGCGTGAAGGCTCGCAACAACAACTGAAACTGCACAGGCCGGAAAAAGTATCGATAAGAACGACAAGGCAATAATAAGCCTGTTAGATAAATACAACACCAGTCAGCGAATCAAGCAAAGCCAATCCAACCAACTGCAGCTGTTCTGGCTCCATGCACAGCTCTAACTCGATACCGAACCCTAGGGCTCTAAGTATACAAATAATAACTAACTTAACGCCTAAAACCTACAAGTAGAGCTTACTGTTTGTTGACTATTTGGAGCCTTAGGTCTGCAAGCTACATGCAGAGCCAACTATACGCTCTCTGAAGCCCCGACGGAGTAGATTTTAAACCCTGAACCCCTAAATAAACCCCACATCCTTAAACCCCAAACCCCCTAAACCCTAAACCACAGCGCAGACCCTCCTCCAAATCCAGGATCCGGCCCCTGAGGATCCAGTAATCGCAGAGGAAGATTCCTGAACGGGCTAAGGGCTCAGGCTTTAGGGTTCAGGCTTTAGGGTTCAGGCTTTAGGGTTCAGGGTTTGGGGTTCAGGGTTTAGGGTTCAGGGTTTAGGGTTCAGGGTTTAGGGTTCAGGGTTTAGGGTTCAGGTGTTGAAGGTGTTTAGGGTGTAGGTTTAGGATGTTTTGGGTGTAGGGCTTAGGGTGTGTGCGGTGTCTAGGGTGTAGCTTTTAAGGTTTAGGCTTCAACATGTTAGGGAATGGGGTTCTTCAGGGCTCGGGATAAACTGAACACTTGGGATGCTTACGACCCCCTGCTCCAAGTATACGGCACACCTACTGTTATATGTTTCAGTGACTACGCCTTAAATCCTGAATCCTCCTTTTCGGCTGCTGCTTCCAGGCTTCGGCAACAGGACAAGCTTCTACATTTGCATATTACATATAGTCTCCATTGTAGTTCCTTTTTTTGGTTAACCAAAATCTCTATTATAGGATCCTAACCATAAAAACGGTTAACCACAAAAAGGAACTACAATGGAGACTATGGGCAACACAATCGAGCCGACGGGATTACACCTCGAAGTCGCTCTTAGCAGGCCTCAACCCCCAAACAGCACAACCTCAAGAAACCGAAGCTCTACTGGGATGCTCCGGGGAGCGCGCACGTGAGGCTCTAAAAGCCTTAGCCAGGGCTTGGATCATCACATATTTCATAACGATGCTAAGCTTCTTTGCGACCCAAATTCTACGATAAGCCCCCATGAGCCTTTAAGTAGCACCCCTTAACCCTCAACCCCCAACCCTAAACCAAAACCCTAAACCCTGAACCCTAAACCGTCCCCCAACCCTACACCCTGAACTCTTGAAGTACTACTCGGTCCAGATCCCAGGGGCCAGCGATGGCTCCCGTGACCATGGCGTAGCCGGAGAGAAAGCTGAGCACAAAGGAGACCTCTACTTAGGGTTTAGGGTTTAGGGTTTAGGGTTTAGGGGTTTAGGGCTTTAGGGGTTTAGGGTTTAGGGTTTTAGGGGTTTAGGGCTTTAGGGCTTTAGGGTTATAGGGGTTTAGGGTTTAGGGGTTTAGGGGTTTAGGGTTTAGGGCCCATTTAAGATAGAAGCGACAAGCCAGGACCCTCCTTGCACCCCAAAATAGGGGTAAAAGGTCCCAAGTCATGGGTATTTAGGCTGCAGTAGAGGGTAAATAGAGGGTCTAGGAATTAGGGCCTCCTGTGTTTGAGGACTTCTAAATGCAACTCGCACCGTGTGCGGGCCGAGTCCAACGTTTGGGGAGCTTAGTTGCAGTTCCTTCCCCAAAAATCCCAGCGGGTCCGGAGTCCTTATGTACTGTTATTATGGAATTAGGTCCCCAAAACATCCTGTGTAGAGGTCAGAAAGATCCTAGGCTTGAAGGATCTCACTATTCTGGGCTTCACCATCCCCGAACCTACCAAAACATTCTTTCGAAGGGCCCCTATAACAGTCCTAGACTAGAGGAGGGATCATAATTAAGAACCTGCAGCAAAAAGGCTGTGACTAGGCTAGAAAGAACCACGAAGACAGTCTTGCCAAGCTAAAAGGCTACGATAGTTTAAGAGAAAGCTTCCGGGAGTTGAGACAGTCTGGGCCTCAGGGTTTTGGGGATCGAGCCCTGGCTTTGGATAGTGCCCCCAGTCAGAAACAGTTGAGCAAGATTTTCTATATGCATATATATATATATATATATGTATATGGAAATCTTATATAATACCCTGCTGAGTAGTAGCCCTCTTATCGGTTGTTAGCTGTTACTGTATGGGGGCAGTACCCAACCCTGACTGAAGGTATACACTGGGCGCAGGACGCAGGGGCTTGAGAGGGGTGTTCAGGGTTCAATTGGCACGACTGATGCCACAGGACTACAGACATCACGTGACAAACCCCAGTCCCTAAATCCTGACTCCGGAGCATAGCCTAGCCACTGCTGAGAAGTATGGCAGCCTCTTGGGCTTTGTCTACAAAACCCCGACCGCACGCCAACTCTAGTATTCAGCCTTCAGTCTGTGAGTCCGAAACCCTAGTACACATGCCCTGTGAATGGGGTCAACTGGGTCCGCCTTGCCAGAGAAGGTCCACCAGGGGCATACAGCGAAAGAGAGGAGGAGAACCTCTGCACAACGATGTGCAAGATAGGCTTCTGACTCCGGGTCACTGATTCTCAGGATGAAGTTTTAAGGTTTGGGCTTTAGGCTTTCGGGTTGTGCGAACTCGTAAAGTTGCCACAGGGCTTTTTAATATTTAAAATAGGCTGTTCTCTACTGGCTCTTGTTTTCTTTTAAGTTTAATCGGCTGCACTCGTAAAGGAAGCTCATGGAAGCTCCTTAGAGCACTCGGCGGCTGAATCGCAATCTGAAGAGGATCACAAGCGTGAGGTCTAAGCCCGAAAAGCTCTTAAATCCCCGTTACTCCGATGCCTCTGCCCTCAACTACTGCAGGTGCCTGAACCCTGGACTCTTGACTCTGAATGCCAATATTAACCCATGTCAGTGAGACTAAACATCGAGTCATCAAGACCCTTAGTCCTCAACACCCTAAACCCTAAACCCTAAACCCTAAAAACTAGCTCCTCCCCTAGCATGGAGTTGTGCTCATGAGCATATCGCCTCTTGAGTTTTTTGTCCACGTGGGCTTTACCCATAGGCCCCATAGTAGCGCTCCTTTTTGGGGGATTACCTTATAGAATTCTATTTTTGAACCCCAAAAAGGAACTACTTTGGGGCCTGTGGGTAGACCTGGGAGCATTCACGGGAGACCGCGACGTGTGATGCGAGCCCGGACGCGAAGCAAACAGAAACTCCAAAACATCTGAGACTACCCATTCCTCCACAGCACCCTTTGAAACTCTTAGAAGCCGCCGAGGAATCCCAATCCTAACATCAACAAAGCCCAACCCTGGAAACAAGAAAGCATAGCTGCAGCTTGGGGTCGAAGAAGCCGCAGCCGCGGTAGGTGAAGCGCTTCGGTGCCACGTTCATGATGTCCTGGGCTTGTTTGGGTGTTGTTCGGATGGGATTTAGGGGTGCTGCGGCCTCTCAAAATCCTTCGAGTTTTTGATTCAAAAGGTTCGTCTAGGGCAGTCTAGGGATATAGAGTTGAGGGTTTAGGATTACTGTATGGGCTCGTCTATTGGCTTTACGACATACGCAACTGTTTGAAGTTTACTGTGAACTCTCTGAAGACAATTGAATAAGGCTCCATCTTTTGCGCGGATATGGGGTTCGACTTAAAGAAATTTTTGACGAGTACTATGCAGACCTCATGTGATCGGTTTGTGGAGTTTGGTGAGCAGGGCATGGTTGGTTGATTTTTGTCTTGAGTCGCGCTTCTTTCCTTCCGGTCCTTAGGTAGTTCATGATACGCTGTGGTTCAGGGTCGAGGGCTTGTTTCTCAGGTGGCAGTGGGTGTTCTTGCATTGCTGGGGATCTGCATTGTGATGTTTGGGATCAAGCATGGTTCAATGTTCATGGTGTAGAGAGCTTCAGGGCCCGTGGATTCTTTGGCATGGGCGAGATCAAGCATGCAGGCCGAGGGACGAACATATCTAC